CTCACCGATCGCGCTCTCGCTGTGGATTTCCTCACGATCTACTCGGAAATCGTGCTACCGCTCGAGACTTCCTCGCGACTCATGCAGGACGCACGCTTCAGCAACCCGCCTGCGCGACCTGGCCGCCTGGGCACGCCTTCCCGACCCGCCCGTTAAGGTCTACCCGCCCGATCTGCCCGTCTGGTTTTGCGACGTGTTTTCTGTTCTTAGCCCGCCTGCTACTCTCTCTCGTGCTCCATCCTCCTCCCTCCCCCGTGCCTCTTCCTTCCATCCTTCCTCTCTTATCTTACCTTAAGGGCTGCACGTAATACATTATGCAGGTGCGATAAATAGCTGCCAAAGGGGCTTCCAAAAGGGGTGCGATCGAAGACGAAGAGGGCGGGTATCGATGTTTTTGGTACACATATTGGATGGCACGCGAGCGCATGATAGCGTACAGTCTTGAAACGGTTGTTGCTGTTGCTGCTGCGGTCTTTGTTGTTGGTGTTGTTGTTGGTGTTGTTGTTGTTGTTGCTGTTGTTGTTGGTGGTGGTGTTGTTGCTGCTGTTGTTGTTGTTGCTGTTGTTGTTGCTGATGGTGCTGGTGGTGCTGTGTTTGGTATGGTGGTTGAGTATTCATTTCTAGAGAATAGTTATTGCTGATATCCGGAAACGGTTCCGCGTGCTTTCGCCTCGATGCCGGCTACATGTTCTCTGTAAACGAGGCTCCCGCTCGAGCGTTGGCTTGAATGTTAAAGTGTAAAAGTGGGCCCGTGGCGGCCCGGCTACGACGACAACGGCTCCTGTTCGATACTTCCTCACAATTTGCCCCAGGACACCCTGGCCAGAGAGGCCCCCGAACAGGAACGGCGCTCTCGCTCGAGACTTCCTCGCACTTCAGTCAAGGTGGCGGGGGCCCAGCCACGAAAAAACAGGGCTCCCGTTCGATATGACTTAAAGATGTATTCGCAGAGGCCCTTTGCCAGAGAGGCCCCCGAACTCAACAGTGGCGCTCTCGCTCGAGACTTTCTCGTAATTCAAGCAAGTTGGTGGAGGCCCAGACACGGCGACAAGGGTTCCCAATCGATATTTCTCCATATCTATCTATCTATCTATCTATCTATCTATCTATCTATCTATCTATGTGTGTATGTATCATATTCAGGGGGTTGAACGGTCATGCATTGTCCCTGGGTGCGTGGCTGAAGTTAGAATCCGTTTTGAAGATACTGCTTGTTGCGTTGTTGTTGTTATTGCTGTTGTTGTTGTTGAACTCGTATCTCTGAAGAATACTTGTTGATCCCCCATCACCAGTGCGTATTGATTTTCTCATAGTGTGCCCCTCGACGCTCGCACCCTTCTTTTTGACAGGGAACGTCTTGGTGCTCAAACTGGGCCCCTGACCCCCCGGATTGCAACAACAACGGCTCCCGCCTGAGACTTCCTCCAAATTTGCTCAGGACCCCCGCTCCTGAGACATCCTTACACTTTACTCAGGATTGGTGCTCCCGCATGTAACTTCCTCGCAATTTAGTCAGGACCCCCGCTCCCACCTGAGACTTCCTCACAATTTATTCAGAAAAGGCACTCACGCTTGAGACATCCTTGCACTTGAGTCAAGATTTCTTCGCAATTCAATCAAGAACCCCGCTCCCGCCAGAGAACCCTTCACATGTTATGCAGGAATTGCGCTTTCGCTTGTGACTTCCATGCGATGTATTCAGAAATCGCGCTGTCGACGCTCCGGAAACAAGCTGCGCCAAGGACGCCGTTACAATTTACTTGGTCATCGCGCTCTCGCCATACTCAGGCATCCCGCTTGAATGTCCCACCCGCCCGACCCGCCCGTCAGGGGATCACCCGCCCGTCGTGGGCTCCCGCCCGAGACGTCCTTCAGGAACCGCGCTTTCGCTTAGGACTTCCTCGAACGTTCACGCTCTCACCTTCCTGCTCCTCCTCCCTCGCCCTACTCCCTCCTCTCCTCCCTTTTCTCTCCTTCCTTTCTTCCCTCATCCTTATGCCTCTCTGCCCTTTCCCCTTTCCGTCCTCTCCCTCCACCCTTCTCCCTCCCCTCTCCTGCCTCCTCCCTCCCACGTTCTTTCTCTCTCTTCCTTTCTTTGTCTCTCTCCCTCTCTCTCTCTCTCTCTCTTTTTCTCTTTCTCTACCTCTCGTATCTGTCTCTCTCTCTCTCCCTCTCTCTGCTTCTAATCAACCGCCCCCCCTCTTCGCTCCTTCTCTCCTGGCGTTTTCCCGTTTCCTTCGTCCTTCCCACCCCCTTCCTCCCACTCTCCCTCGTTCTCCCCTTACTTTTTTTTGCAGGGCCCACACCAATTCTAATGGCGGGCACATGTACGCCCACGAAGGATTGTCCGCCCGTTCAGGTTTGCCCGCCTGTCTAAGCCCGCCGCCTCCCGCAAAGAGAACGAATCCCCCAGGGGGGTGTGATCGAAGACAAACAAAGAGGGGGGTATCGGGGGTGTGGGGAACTCGTTTTGAATGACACACGGGCAAGTAAAAACGAACAGTCTTACACTGATTGTTGTTGGTGTTGTTGTTGAGTTCTCACTTCTGAAGAATAATTATTGTTGATCCCCCCACCGGTGCATACTGTTTTTCTCAATCAAAGTGTGCCACATCGACGCTCGCACCTTGTTTTCCGATAGGGAAAGTCTTCATGCTCAAACTGGGCCCCTGGCCCCCGGGTTACAACAACAACGGTTCCCGCTTCAGACTTCCTTACAATTTAGCCAGGACCCCCGCTCCCGCCAGAGACTTCATCGCATTTTATCCAGGAATCGTGCTCTCGCTTCGCACTTCCTTACAATTTATTCAGGAATCGCCCCCCCGGCGCTCTGGAGTCGCGCTCTCGCTGGAGACTTGCTTGCAACTTACTGAATAATAGCCTTGCGTTGGAATTTCTTGTAATTTGCCCAAGCGGCACGCTCCCGACACCCAGGCACCCAGGAGTCGCGCCCGTTGTGGCCTCATGTGCGTGCCCTTCGTGGCCCCGCTGTCGCCACTTGTGCCCCCCTCATTGTCCTGCGTGGCCCAGTTGCTACCCTCAGTGGCCCCATAGTTGCCTTCTGTGGCCCCGCATTATCTGCACTTCGTGGCTCCCGCTCGTTCGCGTTTCTCGTGGCCCCATACGCATTCCCTTCGTGTCCCCGCTGTCGCCCTTCGTGGCCTAGTTCGTTCCCTTCGTGGCCCTGCTGACGTTCTCTCTCGCTCTCGCTTTCGCTCGTCGTCGCCGTCGTCGTCGTCGCCGTCGTCTTCGACGTCATCGTCGTCGTAGTCGTCGTCGTCGTCGTGGTCGGTCCCCTGTCCGTCCCTCTTGGGGTCGGGTCGACGGTCCGCGGCCGCCCGGCCGATCAGCGCTGCCGCTGGCCAGGCCGACGGTCCGCGGCCATCCCGCCGCTTGCCAGGGCCCGGCCTGCAGGGAAGAAAAGTATACCCCCCAAAAGGGGTTCGATCGAAGACGAAGAGGGCGGGTATCGAGGGTTTGGGAAATACGCGTTATTGGACACTCGACCATATAAGGGCGAACGGTCTCAAAATGATTGTTGTTGTTGTTGTTGTTGTTGTTGTTGTCGTTGTTGTTATTGTAGTTGTTGTTGTTGTTGTTGTTGTTGTTGTTGTTGTTGTTGTTGTTATTGTAGTAGTTGTTGTTGTTGATGTTGTTTATGATGATGTTATTGTTGTTGTTGTGGTTGTTGTCGTTGTTGTTGTCGTTGTTGTTGTTGTTGTTGGTGGTGTTGTTGTTGTTTGTTGTCGTCGTCCCCCCTGCGACCCACCCCGCGACCCACCCCACGACCCACCCCGCGACCCACCTCGCGACCCACCCCTCGATTCACCCCGCGATTCACCCCGCGACCCACCTGCGACCCAACCCACTACCCACCCGCGATCCACCCGGCGACCCACCCGCGACCCACCCGCGACCCAGCCGCGACCCACCCGCGATCCACCCCGCGACCCCCCTGCGACGCACCCGCGACACACTTGCGACCCACCCGCGACCCACCCCGCGACCTGGCCCGCGACCCACCCGCGACCCAACAGCGACTCACCCGCGACTTACCCGCGGCCCACCCGTGACCCATTTGCGACCCGCCAGCGACCCACCCGCGACATACCCACATTGGTTTAAAGAAAAACTCTGCGTTTGCGGCGGGCTCGTTGTATAGTGTTTGAAAGTGTGGTTCGTCCGGCGGGCTTTTCCAGAGACTCGCAATCTGCCGACGTCCCCGCCGCCCCCTCACTCTTATCCGCGTCTGCGGGGTGCTACGGCATGTATTCGAGTGCCATTGGCCAGAGAGGTTCCCGAATTCAGGAACGTCGCTTTCGCTCTAGAGTTCTTCACATTTTGTCAGTGGCCGACAAAGAGCATGTTCCCCCCGAAAGGGGGTGCAATCGAAGACAAGGTGGGCGGGTATCTAGGGTTGGGATATACATAATGCAAGGCACGCGTGCCAGTAGGAGCGAGCACCCAGTGCAGCGTTTCGTGGCCCATAGGGAGCTTCACCGACGGTCCCGGTGCTACTCCCTCCCAGCGCAGCGCTTCGTGGCCCCATAGGGAGCTTCACCGAAGAAGATGTTCACAATTGCGGTGCCCACAACTTCATATGGTTGGGTCTTTCGCCAGGATAATTTGTTGACTGGCGGATGGGCCTTCGTTGACGAGTATTCTCTTTTCCTCAGTGGTACTGCGCATCTCTCGCCGCTCGCCGTCCCAGGCCCAACACACATGTTGTTGTTCCTTATGGTAATGTAACATCATGTGGTTCCTCCAGCGGTCCACCTGGTATCGCTCGGACGTGTGCATTTTTCTCGGCGAGAACCATCGAGGACCATCCTGGACCATCGAGCAACAAAACACGCCCGAAACCGACACATGCACAGGGAATGGACGTCCGAGCGATGCCCAGTCCATCTTTTCACAATCTGCCTTACGATGCTGAAGTGGTGTGGTTGCATCCTCTCCCTCGCGCGCGTATGGCACCGCGCGGTGTGTGTGCTCGGGAGGGAACTTCGCTCGGACGGCCAGATCGTTGCCACCTTTGGGCGCTGCCACCACGTGCTGGCGCTGGTGCCGAGCACACCGGACAGCGCAGCGCCCACGTGCAGCTGGGGCCGCGGACCGGATGAGGCAGGGACGGAGCGGACGTGTGAGGGTGAGATGGAGGAGGAAGTTCAGAGCCCCCAATCATCAGGGGTCACTTCGGTCAGGGTTAACTCGGGTTCGTTTTTCGGGAATCCGAACCCGAGTTATCCCGGACCCGAGTTACCCCGGATAATTCGGGCGTCCAGAGCCCCATATCATCAGGGGTAACTCGGGTCAGGGCTAACTCGGGTTCCGTTTTCGGGAATCCAAACCCGAGTTACCCCGGACCCGAGTTACCCCGGATAATTCGGGCGCCCAAGAAGTGGAGGGGGGAAGGGGGAGGCACGGCGGAGGAGGAGGGAGTGTGAGCGGAGGGCAGGTGAGGGGGGGGGCAGGAAGGGGGAGAGGAGCACGGGAGAGAGGGACAGAAGGAAACGAGGGAAGGGCGTATCGATCGGGGGAGGGAGGGAGAGTGGGAGGCATGGAGGGTCGAGGTGGGAGAGCAGGCAGGGAGGCAGGGATAGAAAGCAGCGAGAACGGGGAGAGGAGAGGCAAGGAGAGAAGAGGGGCTCCCGCCTCCCCCGTTCCCTCCCCGTCTCTTCCCCGCTCCCTCCATCTTCCTCTCCATTGGGCAAGGAGCGGGGCAGGGATGCAGGACGGGGGACGCAGAAGTCCATCGGCTGGCCGTCGCCAGCAGCGCGAGGGGACCAGAGGGCATCGAGCTTGGCATCGGTCGAACGTTTTTTTTTTCTCGGCGAGGACCATCGAGGAGCATGTTGCTCACCTTGCGAGAAGCAAAACGCACGAAACCGAGAAATGTTCAGGGGATGGACGTCCGAGCGATGGCGAGCGAGGGGCGTGAAGTGACGTCGGGACAGGGTGGTGGGATGCTAGGAGGCTCGCCTCGGGCCCCCTGCTGAGCAGGGTCCGGCCTCTCAGCCCGGAGGGCGGCCGACCGGACAGGCGAACGGGCCCAGACTCCAGGGTAACCCTTTGGTGGGAGTCGGGCACTCTCGGTGGCCGAGTGGGCTCGATGCTCTCGGCATCGCTCGGACGTGTGCATTTTTTCTCTGCGAGAACCAATCGAGGACCATCCTGGACCATCGATCAAACAAAAACACGCACAAAACCGACCAATGCGCGGGAAAGGGGCGCCCGAGCGACGGCAAAAGTACTGGCTGGGGCCGCTCGTCGGCCGAGCTCTGCAACAGCGCCAACTCGAGGATGTGCTTCTTCCGAGCTCGATGCCAACTCGATGTCTCTCTCTCTCTCTCTATTTCGCTTTCTCTCGAATCGACGTCAATTCATCTCGAGTCAGCGTACCCCTCCTGCTCGATCGTCGACCCGGCCGGAACGCATGGGGAGGCCGACTTGTGGATCTGGTCCTCCTATCCAGTTTAGACGCCGCGCGTACCCTGCCGCCATGCAGCGGGGTGAGGCGAAGGGATCGAGAGAGCGTAAATGGAGACGAAATTCGCTGGGCTGATGGCTGGTGGTAGTGTATTTGTCATGTTGGGCAGGATTTGCTGCCGGTGTCGAGGCTATCGTGGTTAGTTCAACGGCGCGTGTCAGCTGACCAACGTCAGTTGCTGTCCGCTCTGGGCTACATTTCCGAGGCGGCCACTTCTCCACTGCCACCGCCCGGTGGGCCGATCTTCGGGGAGCTCGGCAAGCGGTGGATATGGATAGGAGGAGGAGGAGGAGGAGGAGGAGGAGGAGGAGGAGGAGGAGGAGGAGGAGGAGGAGGAGGAGGAGACAAGGATCCGAAGATGGACATTTGGATGCACACAGGTATAGATCTGATAGCACTCGACCTCTTTCTGCCACCGTGCCCGGGTGGTGGGTCATAGGCCTCTTGGATGTCTGCTGGGATGTCGTGGGAGACCTCGCGGGGGCCTCTTGGAGGCAGTATCGAGGCCTCCTCCTCCTCCTCCTCCTCCTCCTCCTCCTCCTCCTCCTCCTCCTCCTCCTCTTCGGTGCCGTTGTTTTGGCCTCTTGGGGCGTCTTGGAGGCCTCTAGGGTGCCTCTTGGGGGCCTCTTGGGGCCTCTGGGGGTTTCTAAGGGCGGAGAGGTCGATGTGTCGGTTCGGGTTCCCCCTCTTGGGCCCCACGTGGTGCCTTTTTGGGGCTCAATTGGGCCGTCTGGGGCGCCTCTTGGGCCATCTTGGGGAGTCTTGGGGCGATCTTGGGGGCCTCTTGGGAAACGTCATGCGTGCTAGTTGTTATATCTTCTCAACGGGATTTGACGATTTGTGCCTCTTGGGCCCCTCTTTGGAGGCCTCTTGTGCCTCTCCTAGGGCGACACGCCGAGCCCCAAGAGATTTGGCAATGCAGGGTCCGGGCACGATTTGAGGGCTGAGTCTCCAGGGAATCGAACCAGGGACTCGAGGACCCTCCAACTCGTGCCTCGAGCACACGGTGGCGGAGACGGAGCCCACGCAGAAGCAAATGCTCGACACGATCAAGCAGCTTGGGGCTGCCCTGGCGGCCCTTCCGAAGGGCTGCGGCCTCGATCCGGCCCGGCAGCCGATCATCGAGCAGCTTGCTACACGCCGACGCCAGCTGAGCGACGCCAAGCCACTGGGCAAGCGGCTCGATGGTGCCCTGGCGGCGTTCGAGAGAGCCAAGGCACGCGCAACGGCAGCTGCCGAGAGCGTGGCCCTCGCCGAAAGGCGAGCGAAGCTGCTGCCCTCGAAGTGGCACAACTCGAGTCGGACGTGGCGGAACTCCAGCAGCAGGTGGCCGCTGCAAGGGCGAAGGAGACCCCCAAGCCTGTCGCCATCAACCTTGGCGAGCAGCTCCAGGCCACCATCAAGCAGTTGGAGGAGTACGGCACTGTCTCACCCGAAGGGCTGGCGGAGGCGAAGAAGGTTTGCGAGGAGACCTTCGCCAAGTTCCAGGCGACGCTGGACATGGCAGCCAGGGCTGCTGCGCAGGAGGCGGGGGCTCCCGCCAGGCCACGCTTCAACCACAAGGCTCCCCCCGTGGAGCCTGTCCCGATGGCGCCGCTGGGGCGCCACGCTGGCAAGCAGCCGGCGAAGTACTACATCTCCGACTACGGCAATCCGGCCAAGAAGCCGAAGCAGCAGGCGGCTTATCCATCGCTATTTTTCAACAAGCGGTGGATTAGGCAACCCCCGCCTGAGCACACTCACGGCTGCCACTGCCAACGCCCTCACGCTGCTGCCCTTCCAGCAGGCGCGGGCGTATGCAGCAGTGAGCGGCATCTGCATGCGGAGCAAGATCACGATGCTGGATGAGCTCACCGAGGGGCGGCACTACACTATGGTGTCTGCGGCGGCGGATGCTCACGGAACGCTTGGCGTCCAGCTGTGGGTCAAGCGCTCTCTGCCCATCGTTGCGTTGCAGGCTGAGTCACCTCGACTTCTCCACGCTGTCGTTGGCAAGCGTGGGTGCGAGGTTGGTTGCCTCGTGGAGCACGCGCTTCACTCCATGACTGCTGAGCCTGATCGTCTCCAATGGTGGGCTGACTTGGACCGGCTGGTCGGAAAGATATTTTCGAGGTTCCGCATCCCGTGGTTTTAACTCATCGATACGAACGGCCGCGTGGACAGCACGCCTTCGCACGTCATTGGGCCCAGCTACGCGGAGACGGAGAACCCGAATGAATGCAGCCTTCGAGTCTTCACTGGAGATCACGGGCTGGCCATCAACAACACATGGTGTACCAGTGAGCCGACATGGACATTTATGTTCGGCACTCGCGCGAGGATCGATTACGCGTTGTCGACGGCGGAGCTTGCGCACTGGCGTCGATTGTGCGAACCGCTCCCCGATGTATTCTTGACGCTCAATGCTAAGCAGGACCGCGGCCTCGTTGCGATGGAGACGCTTGCCTGCTACGGGACGCCCATGAGCCCACCTCCAACCACCTTCAAGGTGAACAAGTACAACCTGGACGACCCTGTTCAGCGGGAGCCTCTCCAGCAATGCATGTGGCAGTTCCCGTGCGTCGGTGAGCATGTCCACATCGACGACCACTTGGAGTTACTGTGCATCTGGACGCGCTGGGCTGCCCAACAAGCCTTCGGCGCTCCTGCCCAGCAGCCGCGGCAGAAATGGCTGAGCCCAGAGGTTTGGCAAGTCGTCCGATGCATTGCTTCATTGCGACGTCGGCAGTGCAGCGCCTCGCAGGTGCCGCCAACAAGCGTACACCCCGTTCATTTTCGCATGCTGGAGGTACGCGCGTGCACCGTGCGTGCCTCGCCGCCGCAGTGGCGACTTGTCCGGGCCTCCTGCGCTGCAGGGCGAGGCTATCGACGCTGGCCGGAAGCGTGGCCGCTGCCTCACCCAGGAGGCCCGACTCGCCGCTTCCATTCTGAACATCCAACGCGCAGTCCGCCCCGTGCTGGAGGCCGACCGGAAGCGTCACCTCGACGCCTTTGCTGCCAAGTCTGCCCAGGCGCTGCGCGAGGGCGACATGCGGCAAGCATTTGCGATTGCACGGTCGCTCAGCGGCCGCGCCTCGCGGCCGCTTCAGAAGGCCCAGCGCCGCCACGGGCCCATTCGTGGAGATCCCCCGGGAGGTCCGAGAGGCTTGGGGAGCTCATGCTGCTGGCTGGTGCCGCGGCAGCGTGATCCCGCGCGAGAGGCCGCGGCTCCCGCCATGCGACCGCTGCCCCTCGCCTCCGACTTCGACGTCGGGCCTGCCGCCGCCGAGCGTGCCCGCGCGCAGCTGGGGCGCGACAAGGGCGTTGGATTTGATGTCATTCCTTGTGAGCTGCTACAAGCCGGCGGCTCCGCCCTAGCGGGCCAGTTCGGCGATTTGGAGGGTGATAGTGGGGGTCGGGCGCAGGGCCCCGGCAATGATGTCTTGATGGGCCATGAATGGGCGATGCATCCTCGATTGCTGTGATCGGCGGGGGAACCGCGCGAAGCCCACCGCCTGCGCCCATGCGCGAGACTCGAGGGGGAAGGAAGCAAGGGGGCGGGGGGCTCGGGGAAGGCGACGAAGGCAACGTGCGCTGAGGGCGCAAAAAAAAGGCTGGAACAAACGAAAGCGGTCAGGTGAGTGTCGAATTCTGCTCAGCCAATCTGACATGCGGACCATTGCGCCTCAGTTGTGGGGATCTCGAAGGCCAGGGCAAAAGGTGACTTCACACTGTGGGGAAAGCAACATGTGAGTTCACAGATTGGGAAAAGGAAAAGGTGAATTCATATTTTGGAAAAGTGGAAAATGTACGTTCACATTATGGAATGTTGTGTGAGATTCTTAATGAAAGGGGCCAGAGTGTGAATTCGGAGTGCGGGGGAAAAAAAAATGTGAATTCACATGTTGGGAAACAGGAAAATGAGAACTCAGATTTTGGGGGAAACGTGGGACCCATTCCGAGTTTGTCTTGGGGGTCGAGAAGTCATCGTTTGGGAACATACGCGATCACCAATCGCACAATCAAGACACACTTGCACTCCCTTTCGCCGCCCCGCGCGCAATATGCAAGAACGCCCGCGCGCACGAACGATGATGGATGGGCCGCGCGCGCGCCCGCGCGGGCACCGCGCGGGCGCGAACGACTGGCCCTCAATGACCGCCAACATTGGATGCCAATCGTGCCCGACCACATACAGGAGCGATACATTGAGCACGCATGGGCCATTCAGCCCCAATTGAAGACCCCCTGTTGCAGACCCCTCTTTCACCCTCCAAGCGATGTCAACCTCCGCGTCAGCTGCAATGGCTCTTGGCCGTCGCTGCGCAGGGGCGGCCAGCTGCAGAACGTGTGGAAGAAGAGGGGTGACCCGCAGATCATGGACCATCATCGCGCCTTCCTGCTGGCCGACCGCGCGAGCAAGGGGCTCGCCGGGATGGTCAAGGACGCGCTGGAGCAGCCTATGTCGATCACCAGCCTGATTGTTAGCACGGCGCCCGGGCAGGCCGAGGCACCGACGCGGCGTCTCGCAGTATCACTTTTTTTGTGGACTACGCCGCGCAACAGATGTGGTCCATACGCATCGTGGACCTCACCCAGGCGCTCGACTTCATCATTCGCCAGCTTCTCCACGGGCGGGGCCACCTGCCCGCCGACCAACGCCCCCCGCGCCTCCGCAAACTCGGCGTCGCGCGGCAGGCCGCGGATCGGATTGCCCAGCACGTCCGTGAGCACGGGCCTCTGCTTGAATAGTGGGGCGCGGATCCTGTGGCTAGCGCCGTGGCCGGGACGCTTCGCGAGGGCGCGTAGCTTCCCATCGATGAACCCCCCGCGGCTGCCACCAGCCATACGGGCGGCCGCCAGGGCTGCGAGCCGGGGGCGCAGACGCTCAACAGCGTTTACGGGGTGGCGCTCCACATGATTGCCTGGGAACTTGACCGCCGAGGCGTCGCGCTGAAGGTCGCCGAGGCGCCGCGAGAATTCTGGCGCCCCCCTGCCGACGGCGCGCCTGAGACCAGGCCCGTGCTCGACGCAGCCTTCACAGACGACGAGGCTCTGGCCGTCGTTGCCCGTGGGCCTAAAGACTCCATCGTCGCCATTGATGCCCTCGGCACGGTTATGGAGGTGCTCGAGCGCTTGCGCCTGCAGCTGAATGCCGCGCCCGGCAAGACTGAATGCCTCTTGCAATGTCGAGGCCCTGGCGCCAAGGAGCGCCGGGGGGCCCGACGCTGCGTCGACGGCCGCCTCCGCCTTGCTGTTCCGCACCGGAGCCTTTCCATCGATGCGGTGGAAGCGTGCAAGCATGCAAGCATCTGGGCACACACGAGTCGTTGCGCGCAGTGTCCATGGCCAACGTCAGGCACTGCTCGTCGTCCACCATGAAGGCGCACGTGCCGCTAGCATGGAAGCTTGACGGTTCCGCGCGAGTGCCGGAGGTGCATAAGCTAATATTCGCCCGCACGTTGCTCGTCACCCGTTCGTTCTTCGGGTTTAGCGTGCTGGTGCTGACCCCGAAGCAGCTCAAGCATTTGAACATATCGTGCACCTTAGTGCTCCAGCGAGCGCGCATGAGGCTCACCTGTGTAGCGCGCCTGGTAAGACACCGTCCAACCGCGCTCCTCTCGCTGCTCCACTGTAAGCCCGGCGGGCGCCCTCTTCCGTGGATGGGGCAGTTGTGGGAGGACGTAAAGCTGCTGGGGCCATTTTTGCCCGATGGTTTCCGTACGTTCCAGGATGGCCCAAAGCACTGGCACGATCTCATGATGCAGGAGCATACTATGTTTTTCATGTGTGCGTGCGACACGGCAGCCGGGCCTACGTCCGAGCTGGCGCGCGCACGCGAGTGACACTGCGGATGCGCCTCTTTCGTCCCGGAGAGCCCTCGAGAGCCACCAGCGGGCCAAACACGGCGCCCCATGGACATCCAGAACTTCCTCGCCAACGCCACGTGCCCTGCGTGTAAAAATACCACGAACGAGTGCGGCGAATAGCGAACGTCTCAGACAGGAGGCGCCCTCGCTGCCGCGAGTGGATTATGGACAACGCGCCTCGCCTGCCACCTGCCCGCGCGGAGGCCCTCCGATTAAAAGACCGGGAGCTCCGCCGAGCGGCGCGATAACAAGGCCATTCGCATCACCTCGCCACGCGGCCCGCACAGCATGTATAGCCGTGCTGCGCGGCACTCAGTGCCCTGGCCATCAAGGCTGTGCGACCGCATAGCTCGCAACCCACACTTTCTTTGAGACCACGAATCCGTGGTGATTCAAAAAATACGTGTTTCTACACAGGTTGTATACACTTATGTTATATGTGTATCTACACAGGTTGTATACACTCATGTTATATGTGTATATATATAGAGAGACACATCTATCCATTCATATGAATCCGTCGGGCCCTTGGCGGGTTCGCGTGGACACCCAGTTCCCCGAGCTCCCCGGGGGCCCAGAAAGGGGCACCCGAAGGCCCCCCGAGAGCCCCCAAACGGCGCCAGAACACTCCTAAAGAACACGCGGCCCAGGGAGGTCCCCGGACTATCCAAGACTGCCTTCGGGCGGCCGAGGCTGCTCCCCTGACGGCCACCACGGCTCCAATAGTGCCACAGGGGACCCCAGAGAGGGCCCCAACAGACCCCCGAGAAAATCCCATCCAGCAAAAATCGCCACAGTCCTTTAGGAAAACCGACGTTTTCAGCAAACTCGCCTTTTGGGTCGTCCCCGCGTCCACGACAGCCCCGGAGGCCCCCAAAATCGTCCCACGACCGCCCGAGAAACTCCCAAGAAGGCCCCAAATGGCTCATGACGGCCCCGGGACGGTCCACGAGGCTCCCAAGACGGCCCAAGCGGACCCTAGGAGGGGCCCCGGAAGGGCCCAATACAGCACAAAATGGACCCAAGACGGCCCAAGAGGCGTCCAAAATGGCCCAAGACGGTCCCAAGACGGCCCGACACGCGTCCTACAAGGCCCCAGGAGGCCCCAGGAGCCCCCCCATGAGTTCCAACAGGGTTTCCTACAGGGCCGCCCGCGGCAGGGGAACGCCATTCGAACAATCATCGCGAGACCGACTGCTGTCGCTGACTGCGTCGCACACCCCAGAACGCACCGCCAAAGTTCTATCCTTTCAACTCCATGGACACACACATATTTATATGTGTGTAGGTGTATGTTTATGTGTATCTATGTATATATGTGTGTATATATATATATGTATGTATAGGTATGTGCATATGTATATACAAATACAAATACAAATATGTATATGTATATGTATATATATATATATATATATGTGCATTCACATACAATTGATACATACGTGCATGCATACATATAAATACGTATTCGGTCCCCAGGGAGCCCAACTATATCCATCCACAAATACCTGCTCCCCGCGTGCCGTGGGAAGGTACGGGAGCACCAGGGCCCGCTCCGCGGCCGAGGGGAAACCCGCTCCCCAGACGCCTTGACGCGCGTCGCAGCGACGCCCGAGACGCCAAGGGCGCGAAGAACCCCAGGTCGCGGGCGGGTGGCACAAACCGCAGCCCGCCGCCACACATGGGCAGCGCACACACCATGGGCCACATGGGGTCCCAAAGCCAGAGTAGCGAACGCCGAGCGCACTCAGCAGCGCACGGCGGACCAGACGGCAGCGGAGAGACGGCCACCCCAGCCCACGCTGCAGCTTGGCCAAGAGACCAGCGGCCGCACATGGGCGGACCGCGGACGAGAGAGCACGGGGAGCCAGAAGCGGCAGACGCACGAGCAGAGCAGCAGCAGCCCCCCCCCCAACCCCTCCCCACGGCCCAGCACCCCGACCCCCCCCCCATCGTCCTAAGGACGAGGTGAGGGTACGGGGTGCAGGGCAGACGCAGGAACAGCATTCGTGCCAGCATTCGCGAGTGGCGAGACTGTCGAAGGAGCAACCTGAAGGCCGTACACGCATCTAACGTTGCATAACGCCTTTGCGGACCCCCCCTCCTCCGCTCCCTCCTCACTCAACCTCTCCTCTCCCCTTCATTCCGGTCCATCCCACCGTCTGCCACTCTCTCGCTATTTACACTTCCTGCAGACACGGCGTCGAGCTTTCATTGGCAGCTGTACGGTAAGTTGGGCGCGGCGTAGATCTCTGGGAGTCTCCCTCTCCTCCCTCCCGCCCGCTATTCGCACCGCTTTCATCGATCTTCCTCGATGTGTTTCTCGGATTCTCCTTCCCTCTTCCTACATTTGCGGCGCTGGCATGACCGTTTGGGGCTCAGGAGGGCTCCTAGAGTTCGGGCGAGGGCTCTTGATCCAAGGGCTCCCACGAGGGTGCGAAGTTATTCGCGCTTCGCGGTCCTCGTTTCTCCTCCCCCTCCTCCTCGTCCTCCTTTTCTCCCTTTGGGGGGGCGGCGCGAGAGCGCGAAGTTATTCGCGCTTCGCGCTTCGCGGAGCGCGAAGCGCGAAGTTGGGAGCCCTTGTAGAGTTCGGGCCGGGCTCTTGATCTGGGTCGGGGACTCTCTTCGTGGCCGAGGCGAGCCGTGGCCAGACGAGCCCGGTCGTGCCCTACGCAGCGCTCCTTCTGTTGACGCGCTGTCCGTGTGCCCCTCTTCATTCCCTCGCAGGCGATTTCTCTCCCCCAATCCCCGACTTCCGCCAGAAAAGTTTGGTCGCTCAGAAAAGGGGAGGAATCTTGGGATACATCCCGAGGGGGCTATTCGGACGCACCCCTGTCGAGGATGGACGCCCCCCCATCGTATATCCCAGGGTTAGGCCCCAAATTTCTGGTCCATTCGGAAACCCCACGAAGCCTGGGATAGGGGTCGACATATCCCCTGTTATTCCCCGCTCCGCCCCCCCTGCGATTTTTGCTCACGAGGATGACCGGGAGGGCCAGGTTCCAGCTGCGGGAACGCCTCATGCGGGACGGTTCGGCCGTCCGGAATCGGGAGGGGCCGGGGCTGCAGCAGGTGGAGAGCCCAGGGGCTTTGAGTGGGTGGGCGGGAGGGAGGATCAGGTGCGGAAAGGGTATCAGTAGCGCTATCTTCTTATCGATTTGGGCCTCCTGGGAGGCCCTCGTCGCCAAGGCTGGATCCGCCTCGAGTTTTTGGTGAGACTGCCACCCAGGGGAGGGGTCCGGGAAGTCCCCCCAGAGAATGGAGGGAGGGATGAGGTTGATGTCTTTCGCTTTGCGGGGGCCTTGTATTCTCCCTCCGTCTCGTTTTATTTACGCAATATCCGGCGTCATGCCTTGTGGGGCTTGTGTGTTCCCGATCATTTCTTCATATCCCGATCACTCCCACATCGTGCCCTCTACATGTCTTGTCCACATCTCGTGTTGGAAACGTACGGATACGAAGTATTGTGCCTGTATCCTACCATTCGTCAGTTCCCTTTTTGTCCTTTTCTGAACCGGGAGGATCGAAGGGGATATGTACTTGCGTCGGACCCCATCTGATTGTGCGTTGCTCCGTACGACATCCAGCGAATCCGCCGTGGCGACGAGGGCCCCCCAGAAATCACAAAAAGGCGAAATCCAGGCAAAGGCATCGGCATCAGAAATCCTCGATCCCCGTCCTGCCAGCCCAAATCCGATCAACATTGATTTCTGAGGACCCCTCACGGGGCCCACGGAGCACGTTATCCAGTTTCACACTGATTGATCGCTCTTGAATTGTGCAGCAGAGCGGCGCCACGGCGCCAACTTGCTGGGCCCCCGCCGGCCCTTTGCACGGCAAGTCCGAGTCCGAGTCTGGGTCCCTCCAAGGGCCCATCCTGGCTGGGAAGTGCTCCGTCCCAGGTGGACGCTCGACAGCCGCAGGGGCCTCACAGCGGCCCCGCCGACGCACAAACACGGCGAGAGCCTTCGATCGCCCGCCCCGCGCGGCACGCTTCCACGGGATAGCGAGAAGGATCGGTCTGTGAGGGCCCCAGGGCCCGAGGCTGGACGAGACGCCTGGCGTGAAAGCAGGCGACGCCCTGGCGACGAGGGTTCGGACACATCAGGCTCGTGCCGTGTCGACGGGTCGGTGGCCCCAGCGGGGCCGATGTCGAACGAGTTGAGCTGTCGCACGGCCGCGATCGTTCCAGGTTGAAGGCTCCTCCCTCCCTCCCCCTCCCTCCTCCCTCCTCCCCCTTGGCCCATCCCCGCTGGGGGCCCAAGAGGGCGCAGGGGCCTAGGCGGGAATCGTATCTTGAGCTTCGCCCAAAATGTGATTCCCGCCCACGCGCTGGGCGCGCTCTTCAAGCAGTAGCGAAGCGTCCTGGCTCGCCTATAGGCCCACCAAAGAATGTTATAAGAATCTTGTGTGGTCTTCACGAAACGTTATTAGAGCATTTCTGTTTGGGACTGTTTTGTTTCTGCACATCGGGTTTATGTTCTAAGAACAAGGTTGTTCTTAGGACATTGTTGGGTTCTAAGAGCATGTCGTGGTAGTGATTCTGACACCCTCCTCCGTGCACCCATTTTGGCTCAAGGCTCAAGATGGAAAAGAGATATCTTGTCCATCGACATACTATCTCATCATGGTAGCGTGAGCTGGCCACTCACTGCTGCCGACCCCACCAAGGCCTCGGCGCGCCGCGTCCGCGGGCGCCACGGCGAGCTGGCAGGAAGCTCGAGGCTGGAAGAGGGCGGCATCGGCCGCAGCGAGCTCGGCAGCGACCGAGCAACCGGCAGGGGCCGGGAAGAGTGGCCGCAGGCGCGGCAAGAGGAGCGACGCAGCGATCGAGACCAGGCGCAAGCAGCTCCAGTTCAAGCACGACTTGAGGGAGGCAGGCGACAGGCTTCGTGACCTCGCGCACATCGAGGACCATCCGTCGGAGAACTCCTCAGACGTTGTCGAGAGAACGCAGAAGGAAGTCCTAGGACGGATCACGGACCTCGAGCGTACGAGGCAGGAGATAGCTGAGAGCAGGGAGGAGCTCGCCGAGAGACACGCTGTCAAACATGGACGAGCAGGTTCGGCATCAGTTCGAACTGCTGAGGCAGGAGTTCGCGGCTCAAATAGGTCAGGCAGCCGACGAGATGAGGAGGCTGGAGAACGAGAATCAGCGTCTTCAGCAGCAGGTGGCAGGAGGCCTCGCGGCAATCCCGCAGGCGATCGAGCGGATGGGCGAGCAGATCAGAGGCGCGACGAGCGCGGGTGGAGCCGTTCAAGGTCTCGTAGACACCAAGGGGATCGGCAAGCCCACGACGATGGGCGACGATCAAGAGAAGTTCGGGGCTTGGAATCGCAAGATGGAGAACTACGTGATCGGCGTGTACGGAGAGAGTTTTCGCCCTGTTCTTCGGTGGGCAGCCGAAGCCGAACGCCCCGTGACGATCGAGGGAGCTCGGGCGGTGCACGACGGAGTTCCAGAGCTGGAGACCAAGGTCAACCAGCTGTACGCGGCGCTGATCAGCACGACGGCGGACGGCAGCGAGAGCAACGACCTCGTGACGGGCGCCCCCGACGGGAACGGTCTCGAAGCCTGGCGGAAGCTCCACCGCAGGTGGGATCCGACGACAGGCCCGAGGAAGAGGCTGATCCTGAGGTCGATCATCTCGCCTCCGAAGTGCAGCGCGGACGAGCTGGGGTCCGCCTTAGAGAAGTGGATCCAGCAGATAGGCAGGTACGAACGCCGCCAAGGAGAAGATGGTCTGGCCGAGCTGCCGGAGGATATCAAGATGGCGGCCCTCGAGATGCTCGTGCCTCAGGACATCGAGAACCACCTCGTACTCAACAAGCATCGGCTCGTAACGTTCCAGGACAGTCTGAACGAGGTAATGACGATCGTAGAGGCTCGGACCGGCGTGAAGATCAAGGAGCCATCGATCCGTGCGCGGGCGCATCATCCGGACGACATGGACGTCGGATCGTTCGGAGCCCCGAAAGGCAAAGGCAAAGGCAAGGGCAAGGACGGCAAGAGCAAAGGGAAAGGCAAGACTCAGGAGCCGAAGGGGAAGAGCAAATCGACGAACGGATCATACTCAGGCCCCCGCACATCCCCGACGGGTTCGGGCCGTGGTTCAGGGCGCACGGCACCTCGAAGCACCAGCGGGCGCTTCGACGGCTACTGTCGGAACTGCGAGAGATGGGGCCACAAGGCATCCGACTGCTGGAGGAAAGAGCAGGGATCGAGTACGAGGGCTGGAACTGGATCCGCAACGGGGGCAAGCGTTGGTGGTAAAGTCGGTAGCCGCGGCGGCAAGGCCGGCGGCAAGGCGGCAGGCAGCCTGGAGGAGGAGCCTGAAGCGGAGGTCGCCGCTCTGGACATGGGCAGCTTGGACTGCCTGGAGCTCGCCAGCGGCAGCGGCCGCGGCATAGCGGCGGTCGACCTCTCCCCCTTCGCGCAGGACGACTGGATGAAGTTCAACTGGGACAGCGGTGCAGCTATCTCAGCATTCCCTCGGAGCTTCGCGCCGCCGACGGGAATGACGGGCAATGGCAGCACGTATCGTACGGCCAGTGGTGAGCTCGTCCCGGACGAGGGCAGCTTGCAGCTCAAGGCGGAGGACGAGTACGGAGTGCTACGAGCACTCAAGGGACGCGTGACGAACGTGCACAAGCCGTTGATCTCGGTGGGGCAGGCAGCAGGAGCTGGACAGTGTTCATTCCTGGGTCGCAATGGCGGCTGGATATTCCACGAGAAGAGCCCAATCGGCAAGCGCGTGGTAGGCATGCTCGAGAAGGAGGCGAAGGCGGCGAAGCACCAGATGCTGCCGGTCTATCGCGAGCAGGGCGTCTACAACTTCTACCTCAAGAAGGGCCAACATGGCTCGGTTGCTCCTCTCGAGGAGGGACTTTCGGCGAAGTCGAAGTCCGAGCTAGTGGAGCTCCTCAGCGGCAAGTCGAAGGAGGAGCTGCTGGAGATCCTCGAGAAGACAGTCCCCAGGAGGCAGCCCTCGGCGTAAGCCCACTGGAGGACTTAATACCACGGCCCCCGGCGGCATCGGCTGCGGGGGCGGCAGCGGCGGGGTCGGGACCTTCCGACGTGAGACCGCCGGGTTTTCAGCCAGCGGCAGCTGCTGCGGCCGACGCTTTGCCAGCTGCTCCTGATGGACAGCAGGCCGACGAGGGCGAGGAGGAGGCTCGCCCGAGAGTGCTGAAGGCACCTCATGAGCCCTCTCAGAGGGAGATCGACGAACACGAGGCGATGGGACACGCGACTTATCGCAGCTGGTGTCGCGTGTGTATTGCGGCAAAGGGCCAAGGCCAGCCGCATCTCCGCGCACCGGAGGACGACGAGACGGCGGTGCCGGTGGTCTCGTCCGACTACGCCTTCATGGGCCAGGACGACGCGGACACCATGCCGATGCTGGTACTTAGGGATCGGCGCTCGAAGATGATGGCAGCGACATTCGTGGAGAAGAAGGGCGACGACGCCTACGCCATCAAGTTCTTCGCACGCTTCTTGCGGATCCTGGGCTACAGGAAGATCGTCAACAAGTCCGACGGCGAGCCGGCGATCCTGTTGGTCAAGAGGCGTGCGGTGGAGGAGGTTCCTGGCCTCGAGGCCATTCCCCAGGAGTCGGCACCGGCCGATCATCAGGCCAATGGGGAGATCGAGGTCACGGTGCGCGAGATTAAGAAGCAGGTGCGGGCGCTCAAGATGGACCTGGAGTCCAAGCTGGGCGTCAAGGTGGAGGACAAGCACCCGGTGCTAGCGCACCTGCCGGAGCACGCCGCATCGGTAATCAACCGATACCGGCGCGGCCAGGATGGCAAGACCGCTCTCCAGCGGCTCACGGGACGGCAGTGGAGGAAGCCGGTCCCGCTCTTCGGCGAGCGCTTGATGGCGCGGTTCGCCGGGGAGCGCGCGAGGAAGAACGCGCTGGAGGAACAGATGGTGGAGGCTCGCTACATCGGCCACCACCCGCGCGACGGCTCGATGATGGTCATCACGAGCGACGGCGTGAAGAAGGCGGTAGGCTTTCGCAGCCTGCCGCAGAGCGAGAAGTGGATCA